CATTAGAACTGCTGATACATCTTTTTTCTCTGACCTAGACAGTGTGGCTGCTCAACTTTTTCAAAGTTTGACTGTACAATGGGGGTTGGTGAGAGATCAAATGAACTCACTTAACTGCTAGCATAGCAATTCCAGATGTGCTCAAGAGCACAAAGGGATAAGCATAAGGAAATTCAGTGTGGCATTATTAATAATAGTGAAAATCTAGAAGCAACTCAGGTGTGCATGCATGGAGCATATGCATGATCGGGAAGGAGCAAATCCTCAGTTCTCTGAGATCAAGGTGTAGGCAAGAACCAGCTGCCATTGTGGCTTGGTCTGGAGGTGGAGGGAAGAGAAGGGACATTGAAGGCTATTGGGTTTCTTATGGCTTCTGTTCTATTTTATTTATTTATTTATGAAGTATTTGGGTATATGATAGAGTGAGAAGAGGTAGACAAAAGGATTATTGAGTATCTTCCAGTGTGTCCATTGCTTTAAATGTGAAATGAGCAACCCTTGGCTTTGCATTGGTTCTCCATCTTTAGTGCATTTTGTTAGCAAACTCCTCAATGATCTCTGGCTTTGACAATTGCCTTTGGCTTTGACTTCTCCAGGAAGAAAGAATCCTTTCTAGATCTTTCCTCCTTAATCTACCAGTATGTCTGAATCAGTTCTCCCTTTGCCATTGCCATTTGTTTCCCCTGCTAGTTGGTCCTTGATTTTTCTGAAGGTAGATGGCAGTTGTTAGTACTTCCAGCATCCCCCGCCTGACCCACAGCCTCAACTTCTACCTTCCCCTCTCGCTGCCTTTCCCAGTCCAAATCCTTAGGTTATAAATTATGCTAACACCTGCTAAAAGTCGAGCATATTTCTTTCTTTATATTTTCATTTAAGTACATAAAATGCAGATACTGTGTTAATTCCTATTTAGATTTTTTATTCATTTCTTCATTCATTCATTCATTCAACAAAACATATTGAATGACCACTATGTGCCAGTCACCATTCTTGATAACCAGGAACAGAAAGAATATGAAAACTCATATCACTTAGTAAATTCCCTTTTCTTCGATGTTCAAGGATAGTCTAAAGTGAGACTAACCTTCAATTAGAGTAAATTGACTGAAAACACTTTTATAATGATGAATTAATATTGCATTTTTCTTTCACTTTCTATTATAATTCAGTGGTAGTCCTATTTTTATCTATGGAGGGAAAAATACATGTGTTTTATTTTCACTGCTTCAATTTTTTTTTAGGAAAATAAAATAAGGTAAAAAGATGGAATATTCCTTGATCATATTACTTATTATCATTACCTATTACATATTTTAATCAAGTTATATACACACAGATGTATGTAAGCAAGCTTTTGGGGGTGTTTAAATGAGGAACTGCTGTTTCCTTATTTAGAAATAGACAATCAGAAGATAATGATAAGATTCCACTGATGTGTTTTTCCTCTTCATACATGTACTTCTCTGTATGATAATATGAAATGAGAGAGCACATACCATTTAATGATTCCATATTATTCTTTGTGTCATTGAATTTAGTCATTTAATGTATTCTTTTATTTTCAAAATGTTTTCTAGATTAGCTTTGTTGTATATAGGAATAAAAATGATTTTCTCTTTTAATCCAACTCAGATGTACAAAGGGGTACAATATTACCTATCTTAGAATTGTGATCTTCAGATTGTCTTGGAAGGTTTTAGAAATAGTCTATATACTTATAATAGTCAACTGATATAAGACAGGGAAATTATCCTCATGTAATTTTTTAATATGCTGATGGTGAATGTAGTTACTGCCATCTGAGGATACTCTTGCCACTTTTAGCCAATATAGCAAAACCAAACCAAAACTCAATGACAATACAACAAAAATGATGTTTATTTTTAATCTGATTTTTAATGTTATAAAAATTTAACTAATTATTTATTTACTTCTTTATGCCCTGTTTTATGGTAGCTCTGTATCAAGTACTGAAGTATGGAGAGATGAATAGTAGTTTAGCAAAAGTAACAATGTCAATCAGCACCTGCATTGGTGTGGTTAGTGGCACGTATGGTGTGTAAAGTATGGTGTGAGTGTGAGACCAGAGGTGATACTGGAATTGAGAATCAGATTCTGGGACCCTGTTGTGCTGGTGATGAGGACTGAACACCCCAGAAATGCCAAGGCAAGTTCAGAAAAGAAGTTTTTTTTAAAGGATAGAACAGACACAGACTTCACCTGAGGAAGAAGTGAATCCAGAGCTGGTACCTGAGGGAGTGGGGGTGTCCTCTCCCTTTTAAACATTTTAGGTTCCCCTTCTTCTTATGCCCCCTCCTCCCCTTATCTTTCCTACATGACCAGTGACCAAAATCCTGGAGAGGAGCTGCCCAGAAAATCAGGAAGGGAGTCACCCAAGGGGTACTCATGGACAACTCCTTGTTTGGAGGAACAGTTCCCTGGAGGCAGGTGACCTTGGCAACAGGTTGGGGGAAGGGGAAGTGCTCTGGAGGGATTGGCATTTTATTTCCTTTGAATCATCCCCTATCTTCCTGACCCAATCATTCATTACCTACACTGACTATCCGTTTGCCCCAGCCTCAAATGTACAGAGGAAGGTACCTCTCACTTATGGATGGATTGAAGAAGCTTCCAGAAAGAAGTGATCCTTTAATTGATCTGAAGGTACCAGTAAGGGTTATCCAAACAGAGGGGGAAGGGAGAAGACATTTAGGGTTATAACATGTTATAACATGTAAAAACATGGAAACATGGGACATGATAGGGTAGACAAAGAATTTCTAGTAGATTTTATTTTGGATTAATTGTCACATAATGTGCTATTGTTTTAGGAAGGCTGGAATACAGTGTGAGAAAGCATCAGGAGATAAACATGGTGCAAATCTTTGTGGTCAGAAACTAAATAATCTGTATGCCAAAGATATACAGTGTTATCCTAGGAGCTTCAGACTGCTGCTAAAGGGTTGAAATAAGAGAATTGGATGGTCAGGTTTGTGCTTTAGGAAGAACTTTGTGAGTCAGCAGTGTGGATGTGGACCTTGCCACCTAACTCAGATAAAAGATGATGTATTGTGTGGCATAATAAGGATGGAGGGAATAGATTTGAGATATATTTATTGACAAATTATAATCTGTAAGGCTTAGAAGTGATTGTGTGTGTGTGTGTGTGTGTGTGTGTGTGAAATAGTGAAAAGAGGATGGTGAATTTCAAGTTTCTGATTTATGCAGTTTGAAATATCATGAGGCAATAGGTGAAGATCAGGAATGCGTGAATGATGCGGAGTTGGGGCTGGGGGACAAGATGATGATGAGGTGAATTTTGGACATGTTGAATGTCAGACGTCTGTAGAGCATCTTAGTAAGAGGCAGCCAATGGCAAATAGACACCTAGGTCTGACAAAGAGAAGAATCGTCTGCGTTGGTGAGAGAGATTACATGTTTTTATATGGATATTGAGTTTTTAGAGAGCCGGTGGCATCTGGTACCCTTTGTGTCTCTTTCACATTGTACAGGGTGAGCCTTAGGGCTATATATAATTCCAAAACTTAACTTTTTTTTGGATTCTAGTCACTCGGATGAGGTCCATCAGGAAGAAGAAAGCAGGCCTGTCCATCACTGGCGATAGTTTACTTCTTTCCCAACCTAATTATTAAATACATAGAAGGAGCTGAATTGGTGGGAGCAATTCAAAGTAGAAATGAAATCAGAATCAGCATAAAGGATAGTAGTAAAGTATAATGTAACTTTAGGTTGGTGTACTCCCAGAATTTCTTCCTTAACCTTTTATCACGTCTGAATTTTATAATGCCTTTAAAAACTTTCCTTTAGACCCGTAGGAGTCTTTCATTTTTAAGTTGTTTGGCAAATGTCTCAACAATAGGTAATACCATAGAAGTTATCAAATAGTTTTAATGAGATATTTAGTAGATGAGAGCTACTGGATTCCAGAGGAGGAATAGTTGAGGCAGGTTCAGGGTATGGTTGGTTTTATTCTGTTTGTTTGCATCTCATTGACATTCTTTGGAATTAATGATTTTAATAATGGCAATTTGAGGCCCCAGATGAAATTTCTTTCCCATTAAATTCACATTTCTTTCTCCCAGAAGCTACTGCTCTTTCAGAAAGCATTATTAAAATTCTACATATTTCAAACATAATTTTTAGATATCACTGCCGTTCTTAAGAGAGAAATAACATTTTGCTGTTACAAGGACAATGAAAATATGCAATATGAAGCATAATAAGTGAGATTTGTTAATATTGGTCTTTTTCTACTTACGTGTGTTTATGTGCACACAAATATATGTAGGACCATTTTTATTAGGGTACTATTAGCTTCTATAAAATAACAATAATACTGTATTAGTGTTAATAAAAGAAAAAAATGGTTGATTTGACACAGAAGAAGTGTTTTTCTTCTTTGTATCAGTCCAAGTCAAGTGATCCTGGCTGGCATATGGCATTCTCCCATGCAGTGATTCAGTGACTTTGCCATCTCCGAGGGCCTTATCATTTGCATGCAGCTGGCATAAGGAGGAGAAAGTGTGCAGAAGCCACATTTGCTTCTTAAGTTGTGACATGGATGTGACACACGTCATCTCTGTTTACATTCCACTGGTGAGAACTTGGAATATGTACCTAGTTCCTAGATGCAGGGAGTACTGGGAAATGCTGAGAACTGGAAATAGGCACCGATTTTCCAGCAACAAATCCACACAATGAAAGTGGGAACACAGAATTTCGTGAACTGCTCTCTGCCTTGGATATCTGATAGACATGAGTAGAACACAAAAGTCACACATAAAAGTTGCTCATTACCTTGTAGACATACTTCAAGTATAAGTTGTTTGGTGTCCAGGTCAATAAAAAGCATTATATTGATATTTTTCGTTTGTTCTGGTGTTATATGGTTGTGAGACCCTTTGAATGTTACCAAGAGCATTGGATTCCTTATTAATTATGAATGAAAAACTGACACCTTTTTTTTCTTATTTTTTAAGGTTGGACAAAATTTGCCCGATTGACAAGGGCTTTGACAAATAGCCGAAGTGTTTTGCAGCAGCTTACACCAATGAATAAAACAGAGGTGGTCCACAAGCATTCACGATTAGCTGAAGTAAGTGTGAAACTGACTGGGCTTCCCAAGGTGGTGGTGTTGGTACGTTGTCTTGTCTTCCCCCACATGACTCAGTAGAACTATTTCTGGCTATTAAATTATAAATACTTACCTGGTACTTAGTTTTTCTTTTGCACAAGTGTAGAAATTCCAAATATTTCTTTTTATTCTCTTCAGCTTTTGAAATGGGATTGTAGTTTGGTACATTCAGTGATTGATGCCTGTGGAGTGTGTAGTTTCTTTTGAGCAAATGGGATAACGGATTCCTTTATCCCACCAACGATATCAAATGATTATTGAGAGTTTGCTCTGGATGTGGCTCTCTGAAAAGGATGTGAAGATAAATAAGGTGTGGGCCCAGTCATCAAAGAGGTAAAGAGATAGCAGAGTAGACTGATAACACAATGTAAAAAAGCCCATGACAAACAGCAGGAGTGCATGTGGTAGCATTAACCCAGATGTGGGACGCTAGAGGAGGCTACCTGAGTGAGGTGACACCTTGGCTGAGTAAACATTGAAGGAAAAATGTATGTACTAGGCAAGTAGAGGAGGGAGGTCAGCATGAGCTGAGGAAGTCTGAGAGCTTTGACTATGATGACTTCAGTGGTCCAATTCATGTAGGGAAGGGAGGGTTATTTAGGGTGGCGTATAGTAACATGATGGCTGTGGGTGTCTCATGCCAGGAAAATGACAAGATCTCATAGGTGCCTCAGAAAAATTTCTCAAATGGAGATTGCTCCCAACTGTCTACTTTTGTAATCCCATGCTTTTGTTGTACTTATTTAAAAACATTCTAACAAATAGTAATTTAAGAACTTTCATAGCTTTTACCAGCTTGCCTAAGGAATCCAAGGTACAAAAGTGTTTAAGATCCCTTTCTTGACCTACGGGTTCTGTGGAGGATGAGAAGGCAGGGAAAGCAGTTTCAGTAGTAAAGTCCTAGTGGTAAATTAACTAGGATGAACATGACCCTAAGCAAGGTAGTAGTAGCAGAAGTGGGCAGATTGCAGACAAATAAAACATCCTTTTTCTTTTGGTCTGGGGGATTGAACCCAGGGCCCCATGCTTGCTAGGCACACACTCGACCACTGAGCTACATTCTCAGCCCAACACATCTGTAGATAGAGTAGAACTGAGTGTGAAACAAGGGGATGAGTCAAGGACTTCTGGGTAGACAGAGCTGTTGGTTAATGAAATGAGAAATGCAAAAAGAAGGAAGAGAAGGTTTGGAAGCAATAACGAGGATGGTTTTGGACATGTTAAGTGTGAAGTTCCTGTTGGAAATCTAAGTGGAGGTGCCTAAAGGGCAGTGGGATGTATGGGTCTGGCGCTCTGGAGGGATATTTGGGTTTGAGTTGTAGACTTTGCTGTCATCCTGATAGACATGTATTTAAAGCCATAGGATGAGACAGTGTCACCCTGAGAGATTGTGTGAAGACCAGACAGAAAAGGGATGAGGATAGGACTCCCAGGCAGCTAACAGCTTTCCTGTCTGATGTCTTTTGTAATTATCACTTATTTTACTGGTATGAAAGAGCTGAGATGCTAATTGCTGTATCAAAGCTATGCTGAGCATGTAGAAGGCACTCAGGTAACCTACCACAAAGAGTAGAAAGATAAAGTCAAATTCATATGTTTATCAATTTCTTCTGCCAGAGAAAGTAGCTGAAGCTCTCCAGGGCAACTCTCTCATCTAGTTGTTAGTATGAAATCTGGTTTGTAGAGGGTTAGGAAGTAAAACATGTTCCCAGAATTTAGAGAGCTGTGCAGTTTTTGTTAGCCCATGGCTAACTAAAAGACTCATTATAGTCTTCTGCTCTAAATAACACTGTTAGCTTGGGGTAACTTTAATACTTTGAGGTACAGACATGTTTTTTAAAACTAAAGTAAGGCATAACATAATGAAATGTTTATTAATATCCGTAATATTTAAAAAGATGATATTCAATTAGCACAAAATTTAAAGCAATTATATGCAACTTCTTTTTAAATAACGCCTGTTTGTAAGTACTGCTTGGTTTTGAAGCTACCTCTTCTTTTGCCTTGAGTTGTCCACTTTTTTCTAGAAATTAGGCTGAGGAGGAAGAGTGTTTGACTCTTCAATGTCATGGTCATGATTCTTCTGAATCTTAACTACATTTCATTCAAAGATTTTTTTTTTCTCTGTTACACAGCAGGACAAGAACAAGAGATAGGGGATTATTTTAAAAAAACCTACCTTGAGTAGAAAGTTTCTTTCCCTTGAGATCTCATCATCTTTATTTTTTACTTTTGAGACAAAACTTTCGTTCCTATTTATTCCCATCTGATTTTTATTTGTTTTGCCTTTTGATATTAGTACTTTCAATTGGTCATCCCTAATTCATAAATTAGTTCTGTTACAAAATTGCTTTCTGTCAGGTTTTAGGCTTGGGTTTAGAGAACACACCGGAATAACAAGGTTTTCAATAGAGATTTAATCTGTGGTCTGCCGTATGTGGTCTTAGAGTTCCAAACACAGATCCTGAAAAAATACCAACGAAGCACAAGAATGTTGCTTTTCCAATTAGACTCAAAGTAATTTCAGGCTTCTTTCCTTTTCCCAAGACAAGTAAATCTGATCTCAATTCCACCTGATCTCTGAAGGTAGGAGTTTCAGAGATTCCAGACTCTATGTAAGCAGTTAATAATTTCCCACCTGCAGGACATCCTGCTGATTGCCTTCCCTTGGTTCACATGTGTGCTGCCTGGGGCGAATGGCACTTCACCCCTGCCTTGATAGAGCCTGAATCCTGGAAGTCCACACTCCCAGGGCCTCGGAGAGGAAGAATGTATCTGTGTTGGTATAGAAATACGTCAGTAAATGTGATTTCACCACCCCCTCCCCAACCCCAGGGCTTATTTCTTGTGAAAGTGCAAATGAAATAAAAATGAAGAGGAAGAGTTGTTACTGCTCTGCTCTGCTGGAAGAGCCAGCGACTCAGCTACGATTCAAGTAGTGGTTTGCACATGATGATCAAAACCTTTGTTTTGTTGTTGTTGTCCTTCTCCTCCTCCTGTATCTCTTTAACCCCTTACTCCTCCTCTTTGTCCTCCCCATCCTTCTCTCCCTTTAGCATTTGGGCAACAGTTTACATTTGCTATAGTCACTGTCTGAAGGACTGGGTCGGGAATGTCTAAAGAAACACAGAGATTTTACCTTGAGCTGTACCTTGTCATCACCTAGAAAGGTTTTGAAAATATAGATTCTCTGAGAACCTACCCAAGACCAAATTGAGTCATTCTTTGGAGTGGGGTCTAGTTGTGAACCCCTGTTGCACTTTCTGAAACATCCTCACCTGATTCTTATGTGTAGCCAGACTTAGACACACTGAACCGGAGATGATCCCCTTCTGTCTCCACAGGAGAAGGTTTATATGTCTCCAGGTGCTTATTCATCAACATAATAGGCACAGTATCTAGTAGGGCCCATAATACTTTTAGGAACTCACAAAATGTTTTGATTTCTATTAGCAACGGAACTAAAGATGAACATTTAGGTAAAAAGTTGAATATATGATTTTTAGTATATTCCTGTAAACCACTGTAGTTATAAAATATAACTTTAATTTATTTTTTAATGGGATCCAGGAAAGCAAGAAGGCCCAGTGCCCAGGGAGGTGGTAGTGTCCTCTGGTGCTGAGTTTGTTCTTATTTTCCAACTCTGATTTCTGTGTGCTCAGACTATAGTCTGTGGAGATGCAGCTGGTAAAATACTAATATTGACTGTGAAGGAAATTTTCACGTTTCACACAGTGAAATTGGAGCTGATAGATCAGTGGTTGAAAGGTGAAAGAGAAGGCTGTGATTATGTATGATTCTTTATGTATAATAGTCCAACTCAACATGAGGCTTACATTCCTGGGAGGATAATTTGCTGTGAGTAATTTAAGATCTTATGGGAAAAATATGCCTGGAGTACTGAAAATGTAGGTAAAAACATGAACCATCCTTAAAAACAGTTCTTCTAATCTTCCAACCCCAAATAACAATTATTATGCACAACTGACGAGAATACCAGTGGTGTTTTTCACAATGAAAATAGTTAGAATGGATGTTATATGGTTTTCAGTTATGTAAGTTCTATGTATGAGAGAAACTAGGGCACTCTCCCAAGTTTCAAAAGATGCTTCTGCATTTGTTTTGCTTTGTGGAATAGAAACCATAGAGTTACATGCTAATGAGTATTTTTGTTTATATCTATTCCTACATTTAAATTTTAATGCATTTATGATTTTATTATTTGAAAATTTGGACTCAATACCTCTTGGTTTCCATTAGTTCTACAGACACTGAATAGTTGGCTGAATAAGATGAACAAAGTCTGTTGGAAACATTATTTCACAAATTTTCTCATACCAAACTCTTTAACACATACACTGTCCTTTGCTTCATTGATGGCAGGAAGCAAAGGTTTTTGATCTGCCTTTAACTCCTTATTGCAATTTCCATGTTCCAGGTTCAAGAAACCAACACTAAGTCCTATATTTGTTAGCTTTGGCTAAGGGTGCCCAAACCTATCATCTTGCTCTTTCATCTGCTTTTGCTCTTTGTTTCTTCTTTTAATCAGAGTAAATCCAGATTCATATATATGAAATTTTTCCATTTGTCAAAAAGGTAGGGAGGAGCAAACCTGAGTATTTAAGTATTATTATTATTATTTTTTTTGCTAAAGGGAACTTGCATCTGACTATAGAGACAACATTTTTAAAGTGCTGGTTTAAGGGAAAAAAAGGAAAAACAAAACAAAATAGGGTGTAACACAACACATTATACTGCTGCTAATCATCAGGGCCCTTGCTGAGTACCGCTCAGCAGCAAGATCTCCAGCAGTGCCCTGGGGTTCTGAGGCTATCAGAACTGAACATGTATTTTCCTCGGGTGCTAAATATGTGCAAAGAATGGATAATAGTGAGTCACACAAATAGCTGTTGGACAGTCAGTGAGAGCCATACAATTCCAGGCTGGCTCACAGAGTGGGTGTGAAGGCAATACTCCCAGGAATATAATCCAGTAATGTTGGGGATTAGTCTTGGCTACTGGAGAGTAGGACAGATGGAACAGCAGACAGATCCACTTTTGCAGAGAGATTGGACTTGGAATGATTTCTATTGAACAAACTTTAGGACAACTCAGAAGAGGAAGATGAAATTATGGAGCATGACTGTCCTTAAAACCCAGAGTGGTGACCAATAGGTGGTGATTTGATTGTCTGTATGTTTGAATTCAGTATGAATTGTGCAGAGACATCCAGTTAATTCACATATGCATTTTCTCCCTTTTAGGTCCTTCAGCTGGGATCAGATATCCTTCCTCAGTATAAACAAGAAGCGCCAAAGACGCCACCACATATTATTTTACACTATTGTGCTTTTAAAACTACTTGGGACTGGGTGATTTTAATTCTTACCTTCTACACCGCCATTATGGTTCCTTACAACGTTTCTTTCAAAACGAAGCAGAACAACATAGCCTGGCTGGTACTGGACAGTGTGGTGGATGTTATTTTTCTGGTTGATATTGTATTAAATTTCCACACAACTTTTGTGGGGCCCGGTGGCGAGGTCATTTCTGACCCTAAGCTCATAAGGATGAACTATCTGAAAACTTGGTTTGTGATCGATCTGCTGTCTTGTTTACCTTATGACATCATCAATGCCTTTGAAAATGTGGATGAGGTAAGTGTTTTGGTTTTATTTATTTAGTGGATCATAAGTTTCAGAAAAAAATCAAGATAAAAGAATTCCACTGACAAACTTCTTTTAAGTCCTCACTTTCAATCTTCATCCTATAGGTTACCTTGCTCTAAGTTACCTTTGGTTTTCATCCACTGTGGCTGTGTCTGGAGCTTGGGGTTGGAGGAGGTGGGGAGAGAAGCAGAATGGTAGCATTTGGAATAAAATATAGTTCACAAATCAGACAGTGGGTTAAAAGATGATGTATATAGCCAGGTGTGGATGTGCACCCCTATTATCCCAGCAGCTCAGGAGGCTGAGGCAGGAGGATTGCAAGTTCAAAGCCAGCCTCAGCAACAGTGAGGTGCTCAGCAACTCAATGAGACCCTGTTTCTAAATAAAATACAAAATAGGGCTGGGGATGTGGCTCAGTGGTTGAGTGTCCCTGAGTTTAGTCCCTGGTACCAAAAAAAAAAAAGATGATATATATATATATATATAGGCTGGGGATGTAGCTTAATGGTTAAGTGCCCCTAGGTTCAATTCCTGGTACAAAAACAACCCCAAAACCGATGTATGTACATTAAAAAAAAAAACAAAAAACAAAAAACAAAAAAAACTGCAGCATTTTAAAACTCTGTGCATCCATAGGTCTTACTGACTTATCCTCTCCAGATACATATGGTATCAGTGCTGGATTTAACATAAAGATGAGAAAATTTTCATGGGAGAGCAGTTCTTGAATTTTTGCCATTTTGGTTTCTGCTTTTGTTTGAAGTTTTATCAGAATACTTTTGTGGGTAGAAACTTATTGGAGACTTCTGATGTCTGGTCTCCTTGAAGGGTCTGCTCCTTTAGTGTTGTCACAGCAATTAGAAGTACTTAAAATATACACTATCTTAAAAGACTACTTCATTTATAGTTTCTTAACCTCTAACTTAAAAGTGAGTGATTTATCAGTATATTGTGAACATTTTCCATGTTAACAAATCTGTATATCAGAAAGTTGAGACTGGAGGATTGTAAGTTTAAGAAAACAAAGCCATATCTATAATCACTCAGAATTTCAATGAATAATTTATTTTAAAACAGAGTGGATTATTTGTAAGTTGCTGTACCAAGCTATTAGGGTTCAACCAATAATTTCAGTCTAGAATATAATCTCAATATGGACTATGAGTCAATACAGAATATCTTTATTATTAAAATGCTTTCATAATGATAATCTTACTAAATTAATTTTGCTGAAGACTCTACTATGTCCATGTTAGACTGCTCAGTTGAAAGATTTTCTGCTACACTGTTATTGCTCTTGTTATTCTCTGTGTGTTGGGAGGTAGATCAAAATTTTCTTTGGTGAGTTTTCCATAAAACTTCTACATTCAGTCAACTCTAATGGTATTAAAATTGATTTCTCCAAGAGACATATTCTGATACAATAGATATAATTGTTGGTTTAAAAATTGTGGAAAAGGAATCATAAGTAGTTCATGTTGTAATTTTAGATTTTTTCTGCATCCAGTTTTTAAAGCTATGTTTGATTCTTTCAAATTTACCCTCTGGAAAGGGTTAAAAGTAGTCAAATTTAAAATATTAGCTTGGTACAGCAAGAAAGTTGTCAATATCCATCTAGTTTTACCTGCATGTTTATCAGATTCTTTGCTCATACTATATTCAGTTGCATTCTTGGCTGTTTTTCTGGTTTAGATTCTGTAGATTGGCTCATTAGTATCCATTAGGTAGCATCCAGGTTAGCATTCCAGTAGCCTTCCTGCATCATTCTTAAGTAGCTGTAATTAATATCTTCACCATTTTTCATCTTCACTCATGGACATGCATACAATTAATATAGTTAACATTATTTTGCTTTGTTGTTCAAAAGCACTGTAGCAGATGGTGGATGATCTGGGGTCTTAGCTTTTTCAAGGGCATGTTTTGTGGTGAGACTTTGGGATGGTTTCTCTTTCTCAGTTTCCATATTGTGAAGAAGGAAAAGGAATGCTTGTCTTTTATATCACAAGATGGTTACAAGAAATAAATTGGAAAAGAGGCATTAATGAAATATGGATTTCTGTCAGTCTGATGGGATATTATTATCTCATTTCTAATAATTTCATTTATATAACTGCTTTACAAATTCTGTGGTGGAGAAGAATGCATCTTCTATCTCCTTGGTATGTCTTCATTGTACTGCGTACATCCTAGAGACTCACTGACAGGAAGCAATCTGGTGTTAGCAAGGTTTTGGTAAATTGTACAATGTCACAAAAATAAAATGGAACTTAAACATAATGAACTGCGCTAGTGGTGACTTGGGAGTAAGAGAGCATATGAGTCTGAAAATTGCAATTTAATCCTCTAAGCTGCTGGTGTGCAGAATGACTGAGAGGACCTAATAATGCTCTTTATTTTCAAGACCGTCAACGTACTCTCTGAAGGTAATTTGATTTTTAAGAATTCATGAACTGGCTATGTGATTTTTTAAAAAGTCAACCATGAGGCAGGAAAGACAGGGTTTATTAGAGAAAGCCTTCTGTCTGAAAAGAAGGAATACAAGTTTCCTAGAAAAAATAAACAGAGGGAAAAGATGCTCTCACTAAGAGTCCAAATAGAACTGAGCTTTTTGGAGCAGGCATTGTATCGACTTTAGAAGGTGTAGGGAGCTTGATTTCTGGGAGCTTAAGGGTAGCTGAGTCATGGAACATGAGAGGATGATGGGTCAGCTTCAGAGAACACATTGGTCAGCATAGAGGGTGTAGGAAACCTGATACACAGGGAATTTAGATGATGAGGAGTGCTGTTACTACCTGATAAACAAGGTAAACTAGGTCAGAACAAAATGAAATTGGGAAAAAGATCTCTTGTGTGTTGATTCAGCAAGAAAAAAAAGAATGAACCAGAAATTTCCAAGTGGAAGTATATAAATATTTTTAATTTTTGAAAAGCTTTTAGGAAGCAATTTATAGATTATATTTTTTTCATGAATTATCCTTGTCAAGCTGTCACGTATATATTTCATTTTATATGTTTATGTTATAATTTCATCTCTAGTCACCAAAATGAGAATTAGAAGTCAGAAAGACTAATTATGCTTGTAGATTTTAGTGACTCTTGTCAGCCTAGAATCTCTTTTTGTCCTTTTTGCCTTCTCAGACCTTTTACCAAAAGTTGTAGATTGGAATCATTATTTAAAACCATTGCTTTTAAAATTGAAATCTAAATAATGTTTGGGTGGTATAGGTGGGAATTACATAATTTTTCTGTTTAATTTTTCTAGCCTTAATCTTACTCTCTTAGTCTGCTGTGTACTGCTGGAACAAAATATCACAGACTGGGTCATTTATAAAAAACAGAAATCCATTTCTTATACTCTCAGGGCTGGAAGTACAAGATCAGGGAGCTGGTGAGGGGCTTCTCACAGAGTTCTCACATAGCAGAGGGCGGGAAAGTGAACCTTTTTATAGGGACGTGAATCCATCTGTGAGGATGGAGCTCTTGTGACCTAAACACCTCTATCAGGTCATATTTCCTGATACTGTTGCATTGGGGATTAAGTGTCATCAGGAGTTTTGTGGGAGACAAACACATTCAAACTGTAACAGTGTTCAGTCCTCCTTGGAATTGGTTGATTTCTCTTTTTACTGTTCCCTACATGATGAAGCCATGTCAACGTTCAGTTCTATACAATCTTCTTCAACTCTATAAAGAGCATGAAGCATTTTAAAATAGACTTTCAGAGCAGTTTTAGGTTGACAGAAAAATCAAGGGGAAGATACAGGGATTTCCCATATACCCCTCACATACCTGCATATACAGATTGACCTGCTATCAAAATCCCACACCAGAATAGTACATTTGTTACAACTGATGAACCTATATGGATACATCATCATAACCCGAAGGTGACGGTTCACCCTTTGTTTTGTGCATGTGCTGAATTTTGACAATGTATGAAGACAGGTATTCACTGTTGAATTATCAGATTATAATTTCACTTCCCTAAAACTCCTGTGTGCTCTGCTTATCATCAGTCCTTCCCTGCTAACCCCAAGTAACCATTGCTTCTCTGTCTCCTTTCCCAGGTGTCACATAGTTGGAATCAGATAGTTTGGAGGCTTTTCATATTGGCTTCTTTCACCTAGTACTATGCATCTATGGTTGCTCCATGTCTTTTCAAGTTTTGTTAGCTCATTCTTTTCAGTGCTGAATAACAAATCATTGTTTGATGTATCACGATTTATTTATTCATTCACCTACTGAAAGACATCTTGGGTGCTTCCAAGTTTTGTCAATTATGAATAAAGCTGCTATAAACATTAGTGTGAGGATTTATATGTGGATATAAGTTTTCAGCACATTTGGGTAAATATGAAGGAACATGATTGCTGTATCATATGGTAAGAATGTGTTTAGCTTTGTAAGAAACTGCCAAACTGTCTTTCAAACAGGCTGAACCATTTAGCATTTCCATCATTAATGCCTGAGAGTTTCTGTTGTTCACATCCGTTGCCAGCATTTGATAGTGTTTTGGATTGTGGCCATTCTAATAGATCTGTTGTGGAATATCATTTTAATTTGTAATTCTCTAATAATATAATGATATTGAACATTTTTTCCTATGCTCATTTGTTATCTGAATATATTCTTGGGTGAGATATCTTTCTGGATCTTTCATGCATTCATTGGTTAGGTTGTTTATCTTCTCATTGTTGAATTTTAAGTGTTCTTTGTGTATTTGGGATAACAGCTATATATCAGATATGTCTTTTATAAATATTTTCTACCAGCCTATGGCATGTCTTGACAATGTCTTTCACAAATCAGAATGCTTAATTTTAATGAAGTTCAGCTTATCAACTATTTCTTTCATGGATTGTGCCTTTGGTATTACATCTAAAAAGTGTTCATTATAACCAAATCACCTAGATTTCTTTTATTACTATGGTTAAGAATATGTTGTCTCCCATGAAACTCATTTTGAAATTTAATCCCCATTATGAGGT